TAATATGTATGATAAGAAGATTGTTTGGGAAATATTAGTATTCAAGTTAGGTATCGTGCATTTACTGAAAACATATTCCTATTGGATTGAGAATTGTAGCATTGTGGGCTTCATTAGACTCTGCTAGACTGCTGTATAAAATGGAATTTCTTATTTGACTTAAGCTCATGCTTCTATTTTTTTATTCTAGCTTCTATAATTAGTTACTTTGAAATTATTGACACACAATGTTTTACTGGAATTGAAATTGAGAGTGTGTCAGCATTTTCAGTTTGTACACAGTAGAAATTTCTGCTGTATGTAACGACTACAAAGGTTTCTGAGTTCATTCATAACTGATAGAGCAAGGTTTCAAAGAGGAGATGACACAGCTCTCGAAATATGAGGATAAACTGTAACCAAATAATGCCTTCAAGCTCTCTTAATTTTTTACAACAAAAAGCATAAACAGAAATATTATTTCACACAATCATCATTTTTTTATAAGAACTCAATGAAATGTAATTTCTTTGTTCTTCTCGCTTTTCCAGGCCTTCAATAAATATTTGTCATCTGTTTTTCTCCTCTTATAGGTACTATTCTATGTATGGGCACGTNGGTACTATTCTATGTATGGGCACGTAAAGAAAGTGGCAGAACAAATAAAGAAAGGGGCTTCATTTATTGAAGGAATTGAAGGTAATATATGGCAAGTAGCGAGGTAGAAACTATCCTTGCCATCATATCTTTATTGGATTACGTAATTAGGAAACATAAAAAAGTCAAATAAAATAAATAACTGACGAAAGCATCTATTGTCGTTGACATTTTCGTTCAGAGTGAATCAATTGCATACTTCAGGTCTATATATCACTTTGTTCAGGGTTTTATCGTGCTTATAAATTGGAACTATGTCCCAACCACAACTGTGAATTGGAACTGTATCCCAATTCGTAGTTTTTAGCGCCTTTCAGGACCTCTCAACTTCTCTGTGTTATGAAATGTATGTTTCTTCTCTCTCGATTGTTGACAGAAATTCGAAAACATCTACAGGAATTGAGACATATATCTGTAATTATAATTCTTATACGTTCAATTTCTTCCTTTTGTCTAGATTTCTTCCAATTTTTTTAGCTATAATGCAAGAACAGTGGCTTCAGTTTTGGTTTTATCAGTGGGATTTACTTTTATCTAATTCTTGCGTAAAGTACTGCTGTTAAAGAATCAGATTTCGTTGATTTTATGCTGCTGCACTTGTTCTGAATTTGTTTTTGTAGTTATTTTTTAATTTGATGTGTTCTATTTACGGCTTACTTGATAGTCACGAGTGAAAGTAATTATTTTGTTTTTTTTAAGCGAATCAGGAAAATAAATTATTTTGCATTGATTGCAGTATATTTATGTGTTATTAGTATGATATCGATGTGATCTGTGTTTAACTGCAGCAACAGAGTCCAGGAATAGGAGGTTTTCCAGTACAAGCTTCACATTACAACCCACTTGAGGAACCATGTCCATTGGGTTTGCGGCTGAGGAAGAGCCCATCACTTTTGAAGTTAATCCAAATGAAACTTTCTCAACCAAATGTTCCCAATGTTGCAAGTCATGGTCATGGTAAAAAAGATCAGAAGGGCGGTGCTTCTTCTGCCAGTACTGATAAGCAGAGCTGAAGGCCTCCAATTTTCCTGCCTCAGTTCTTCGAATAGAGACCTGGGAGGTACATTTCAATATATATATGTGTTTGGAAAAGATTTGTAGTTGTTGAATATCACTTTTACTCAATTGTAAGATGGGTTATCTGAAAATTTCATTCTTTGGCACATTTGTTTGCAGCATGATTTGACATAATTTTCTTCTTGTTATGTGGGGCTTGATTTCTGGTGATTGTTCTCTATCAAATCCACTTATTTTCGCCATTTAGACATGTTCATTTTGCTTCATGTTAGGAATATAGTAAACATGACAGAATACAAGACCAGTGCCTAAATTTTCTACATGTCAAAAGTGTACTTGTTACATTCACTTGATGTCATTATGATAAGAAACTAGAATAGCTTAAGATAGGAAATTGAACAAATATTATGGTTATTACTTATGCATTATTCAAATTGCATGTGAAGCATTGCAGTTATTTTCTCATGTGATAAACGCATGATGGATGCTCTTTTGGTTTCATTGTGCTTGTATTTATCTATGAAGAATCGAAGAGGGCTTTGGAAACTTGTTGGGTGTTCTCCGGTCTGTTCATATTTCCACTCTGCCTGGGTACTATAAAGTTTAAAATTTGTCTCCCCTTAGTGATACATTTTGATTTCCACTCTGCCTGGGTACTAATTGATGATTTCTTCATTATTTTTACACTACAGGTTAGTGTCAAAGTTGAATATCCCCAGGATTATTCAGATGTATCAAATGAGGACCAAACAGATTTTAAGCAGACTAGGTATGATATGGCTTGAAATGTCATTAGATAATGTGTTGGTCTACTACGTGTTTCACAATTTCAGATTGTCATTCGAACTATGAACACTTGATTTCAGATAATGTGTTGGTCTACTGCGTGTACTTGTCATTCGAACACTTGATTATGACATACCTATTTCAGATTTGTACATGGTAATGCTTGCACTTTCGTTTCTCTCTATACTTTTTTCGGGTGGTTACTTGAGTTAAACTTTCAAGCCCTCGTCTCTCTGTGTAACCACCATACTAGATGAGTAGTTCCTTCTATTAATTATATATGTAATTGCTGATTGCAACATGGTTTCTGGGCTAGGTGTACTAAATTAATGCTGAGATTTTGTCAAATTTTTCCTCTTTATCTGATTGATTAGATCAGCCTTGTTTGTAACCCAGGTGGCATGATTGTTTGAAACAAGTTTTAAATGTTAATATTATAGATATTGTGGTGAGAAAAAATTGTCATTATGCTATTAGCTTGACCTACTAAATTTGTCTCCAATTACTAATGCTTTGTCAATAATTTGTGGCATTTACTGCAGTTGGCGAGACAACCTCTTTTCTTCAGGGAAACTAATCCGCAATCTAGGAAACACACCTTTTGGCAGGCAACATCAGACTTTACTAGGGGACAGCCTAGCCTCCAAAGGTACAATGAACATTATTACTTTGTTTACGTTTTTGTGCTAGC